TGGAAAAGCAGAACGAAGGTGGAGCCCTCCCATTCCCCGATTTCGAGACAACACACAGCTTCAGTAATCAAGAGAGCGTGACGTCGGCACCTGGCAGGTGTGCAGATCAGCAGAACACGAAGGAGTCCAGAAAAAGACCCCTAAGGACACTAATTAAAAAGAAATCACCAAGGTGATTCAATATTCTCGTCAAGGATGCACTGAAAGAGCTGGATATTGAGACCCAGAATAAAAACATAGAAAGGCCTCTGTCTTTGCCTTCATGAAACGCCGTCTACAAACACCAGCTAGGCAGAACCAAAACGTCACACCTGAAACCATAGAACTCCCAGGGGGAGAAAACCTGAATGGCCTTGGCATAGGAAACATTTCTAAAGAGGATATCAAAAGCAAGATCCAATAAAAGAAAAATACTCCAGCCTGAGCAAGAGGGAGACCCCATCTCTACTAAAAATAGAAAGAAATTAGCTGGACAACTAAAAAATATATATAGAAAAAATTGGCCGGGCATGGTGGCGCATGCCTATAGTCCCAGCTACTTGGGAGGCTGAGGCAGCAGGATTGCTAGAGCCCAGGAGTTTGAGGTTGCTGTGAGCTAGGCTGATGCCACAGCACTCTAGCCCAGGGCAATAGAGTGAGACGAAGGGAGGGAGGGAGGGAGGAAGGAAGGAAGGAAGGAAGGAAGGAAGGAAGGAAGGAAGAAGGGAAGGAAGGAAGAAGCGAGGAGGAAGGAAGGAACTGGAGAGGAAGGAAGGAAGGAAGGAAGGAAAGGAAGAACGAGGAAGCGAAGGGAGGAGGGAGGAACTGCGAAGAGGAAGGAAGGAAGGGAGGGAGGGAGGGAGGAAGGGAGGGAAGGAACTGAGAGGAAGAAAGGAAGGAGGAGGAGGGAAGGAATGAGCAGGAAGGAAGGAGGCAAGGAAGGAAGAAGGAACGAAGGAAAGGAAAGGGAACCTGAGGAGCAAGGAAGGAAGCAAAGAAGGGAGGGAGGCGAGGGAGGGGAACTGAGCAGGAAGGAAGAAGAGAAGGAAGGAAGGAAGAAAGGAAGGAAGGAAGGAAGGAAGAAGAGCGAGCGAAGGGAGAAAGGAGGAGAATGAGAGGAAGGAAGGAAGAAAGGAGGGAGGCGAGGGAACGGCGAACTGAGAGAAAGGAAGGGAGGGAGGGAGGAGAGGGAAGGAATTGAGAGGAAGCAAGAAGGCAAGGAGGAAGGAAGGAAGGAAGGAAGAAGGAAGAAGGGAGGGAACAGGGAACTGAGAGGCAAGAGGGGAGGACGGGAGCGCGAGGGCAAACGGACGGCGAGGCACGGCGAGGGGAAGCGCGGAGGGAAGGAACTGAGAGGAAGGGACGGGAGGGGACGCGGACGGGACATCGACACTCCGAGAGAGAAGGGAGGGAGGGAAGGGAGGGAAGGCACCTGGAGGAGGCCAGAAGGCAAGCGAGCGAGAAGGAAGGAGCAGAGGAACGCGAAGGAAGCAGGAGGGAGGGAGGGAGGCGGAGGGAGGGAGATCTCTCTCAA